CCTAAAATTGACACTTCAATCACTTTCAATTTTTTAAGCAAGTGATGTCTTCTGTCTCACCTTCCGGTGTTGTTTTCTTCATATCTGACAAGACCGGAGTCACGCCAAAACTCTTCGTATCCTTAATTTCCCTTATTGCAGTTGTATTTATAGATGTTTCTCAAATGCATAATGTCTATCTGTTTGCATTTTGAGCCTTTACAGTTATCGATTAACTTAAGTCCAAAGAATAAAGCATATTCCTTTGTATTATGATAGTACACTACATATTGGAGATAACATCATACTGTGGCATCTCAACAATAACACATGAGCAGTAACAACACTACAACAACATGCCTTAACAAATTTTCAAAATTTATCTTGTAGTGTTTCATCCTTATCCAATCATTTCCCTAGATCCATTCTATCTTCTTCTCAAATATTTGTCATGTCGATATTAACACTTAAGTTAAGGACCCACACTAACATCTTCTGGCTTGAGGCCTGCTAGATGGTGTTCAAAGATTTATGGCGTGACAAAATGTGTCATAAGAGTCACTTTTGCAAAAGCACAAAACACATAAAATTGACAAAAGATAACACCTAGTATGCTCTATCATAAATTAACCAAAGTAACATAAAACATAAATAAATGACATTACTCAAGCTCTAATCTACCATAAAAGTCAAGTATAAGAGGGTTAAATATATCACACAAAATAATATATTAGAGGGTCTACATGTATGTTAGTGATTGGCGGTACTGGATTGGGATTAAAGATTTGGCTAGTCTAATTGGGTCTTTGGCCAACCCAAAATAGTTGTCCCATGAGTCTTTGCGCTTGAACTTATTCTACTTTTTCACTTTGAGTTTTCCAAGCATATGTATCAAAACACAAGGTATATATAAAATAGTCACGAATTTTGAATGTCACAATTCACACCTTCCTTTTTTGTGTTTGGATCCAATTAATCAACAGTCTCTCTGACTCTGGGTCAAAACCAGACCCAACTGCTTTAGATGAGAGATCATAATATATATAGTCCCTCAACTATGAGGTCTGTATGAGTGATATGTTTTAAGTGGGAAACTGAAATGTATATGACCCCTCAACCATGACATATGTAAGAGTGAAATGCTTTAGGTTCAAAATTGAATTGTACATAGGCTGTCAAGCATGAGGTCTGTAAGAGCAAAATGCTTTAGACCTTTGTAAGGGCGAGATGTCTAGGTTTCTCTAAGGATGAGATGTCTAGTATTCTATAAGGACGAGATGTCTCATTTTATAATGATATCACCTGAAGTTGTGTCCAATTTTGTTTTTTTATTTTACTGTCTCCTGAATTTTCTATTTTCACTAGGGATTCAATTTTGGTTAGCCTTAGTTATTGCTAAGTGCCTCAGGACTCACATAAAACCAGATTCATCATTAACCTTACATTCCTAAATTGTTATCATTAAGTATGTCCACTTTCATGTATGTCACTTGTGTCTTTAAATAAAGATGTCATTTCTTATTCAAAATCATTTTAACTTATACACTTTAATTGAATTCTTCTACGCTCTTTGCTCAGTAATTTCCTCAGCATTGTTTTCTTCTCCCTTGATATAACACTCCACTCTAGCCATGACATCCTCTATTGAGGATGTAGTGCACTAGAGACTTGTTAAAGTACCTAGATTTGAGGCCAATTTAGAAGGCTCTTACAAACATCTCCTGGTTCATATGATCAGCCTTGTTGGTTTACTCACTAAATTGGGATACTTACTCTCACAATGATTTAAAATGATCTTGACAAACATTAAAAAGGCTCGTATGAGAGACCTTCCTATGTTTAATGACAGAAAACAAATTTTATTAAGTCTTAGTAACTTATTATTGAAATCTCGTAATGCTCATATACCATTTAAGGGTTATTTCCTTCAATGTCTTTCCATTAGCTTATATTTGAGGAAATTAGTCATCCCTATGATATCCATTTGTATATTGATAACGATGATATGCTCTTGGAGTTCACTCTTTCCATCAAATATTGTCAAGGGTGGCTTGAAATTGTAAGGCACCTAGACATCTCAGATTTCCGCTGCTAAAGGTTGAGAATCCAATGGGTCTTCGTGCTCGTTTCCTACTGGTTGTAGTTGTTATTGCATATAACATTGTCTTGTAAGGTCTCGTTTTGGCGATGCAATTTATCAGGAGCATCATCTCCACTGTGGTGGCTCGACCTTCGTTGTAGTTGCTCTTGGTGGCCGCCCCTACCCTCGTGGGACGCTAAGGAGTTGATATTTGAATATAATTGTGTGACTCAGAATAATTTTACCGAACTCCACATTAGACGTCAAATATACATATAAGATACACTGATTGATAACTCTATCAACACAGAGCCCATTAGAGTTGCAAATATAAGTCTAAGTCGTATGGAAAAATATCTCTTTTCTCCTCTGTATTATGTCCTTTAAGTCTTATCTTATCTTATATTTAGAGCTTATGAAAACCATTTAATAGTCATTATAATTTATATAGTCATTGCTCCCTTGCCTGCTCTTATTCATTGTTACCATTAATTTGAAAATGTTGTTTAATGCATATTGATTCAAATATTCCTTCCACATTAATTTTGATATGAGTCAGATTGATCAATTTGGCTCGTTTATTACCTTAGCTCGGTCTTACCCTTGTAGTTAGAACGTAAATAAGGACATTCTCTACAAACTCTTGGTCAAAACCCAACTCAATTGCTTGGAAAGATCATAACGTAATATTGTGTTGATTTAAATTTGAGTTATATTTTTTTAATGAGAGAAAATACATTTAAATTACTATAAAATATTTATATTGATTTAGAGTTGAGTTATATATTCTTAATGAGAAAAAAATAAATTTATAATGTATTATATTAATACCCTCTCTATAACAAATTATAAATAAATTTAATTTTTTTATACATTTTATAATTAATGTATCTAATTCATATATGAACTAGATTCACAAATTATCAAATATATCAAAAAAGTCAAATTTAATTATAATTTGTTACAGACAATTCAATATCAACCATATATTTAACGATTGATTCTATGATAGGTCTATTGAATCAATTGATTCATCTTAACATATTATGTCACTGGACTTGATAAAAATAACAAAACAAATTAGTATTTACATTTGAGAGAATTCAATATTGAATTATGAGTGAAACGATATTAGATAAGACTTCTTTTATGTACAAGATAAACTTCATATTAGTAAGACTCCTTACTATGAGAAACAAAGAGTTAAAATACAAACATTCAAAATTTAACCTTTCATTCTATTCCCGTCAAATGTTGGCTCAAGTTGCTAAAAATTACTCTCCATTGTTATTTTTCTAATTATATCCTTTAATTGTTACACTTTACACTACTTCCAACACATTTATAAAATTAATTTAGTAAAAATATAACATTTTATAAACATTATTACATTATTTGAACTCCGTGCAAAAACTTTAAGAACACTCATTTTGAAATTGAGGGAGTATATACTTTTTAAATTTGCCAAATGTCGGTAAATGTCACTTCCAATTGAGAGAAAACAAGTAGTGATTACAGCAAGAAAAATATCATAAATAGGGATGGTTGGGGATATTCTGAAGTTCAGTCAAGCTATGTAAATAAAGTCTAACCAAGTGTTTTCTTAGCCAAATTCAAAGTCGGATGCTCTCAACCAGTTCATCGTCAACTGAAAACAGTTAACCACTTGAACACAATTTCTTGATTATACACATACACACAATGAGTAGGGTGGTGTGAACTGAAGCAAAATAGTTTAACCTGGAGATGTAACTCGGCAGATTATATCCAAGCTTACATCCCAAGTATATAGATTCATAATTAATCACATCACACCAAATCGCAAATTTGAATCTAATTCGCAATGATCTCGACAAATAATATATACAAAAAACAAACAATGCTATCAAATTAATATTCCAAACTCTGTTTAATGACTCTATTTCAAAAAAGACAACATCCATGGCTCATAATAGTTTTTACAGTTTCCAATTTAAATTTCAAACAAAATCCAAGATAGAGCCCAAACTTTTATAGAGCCCAAACTCAAATGGTATGTTGAATCATAGTAAAGGGACAAGTAATCAAGGACTCATGATAGGATACGACTATAACTCTAACTTGTATGACAGGACCCCCATGGCTCTCTCCACACTTTCAACATTATCACTGACCTCTCTTCCATCAAGGACTCAATTATAGAAAATGGATTGTTTTTTAATTTGCTGTGTTACAAATCCTAGTATAGCTCAAATGTCATCCATTAGAGAACACTTAAGAGGCAGACATACAAAGCATTAAGATTACAATGAGGTATTTGGTCAGGCTGCCTGTGACACCACTACCATCCTCACTTTCACAAGACTCCCAACATTAACTACAGATAATGAAGATAATATAAACCGTTACAAGTAACAAAACCAATGTACATATAGGTATGTATATTTTAGCAAACACCAAAATGAAAAAGAATTTGACTTTTCAATTAGCTCTCAGCCTTATGTTCCATTGCTTATATACTTAAAATGCTAAGCATGGAACAAAATACAATGCTATTTTTCCACCCTACATTAACCTGCCTCTCAAAAGAGCATTTTATTCTTAAATTGCACCACACAAGGAACATAACATGTAGAGTTATGGTCTGCAACATATTGGCATGCCTACCAAAACCTTGTCAAAACTATAAGTTATGCAATCTTCAATGCACACAGGGACCCAATTTTAATGATACAATCGTCTCATAAGAAAAAGCTAAGCTGCCAGCCAACTCTCATCATTTCCCCTCTCACAATCCTAATCAAACCAAAACTACTCATCTATGAGGTACAGCCCATGCCACAGACGAAATTAAAAAAAAAAATCAAGAAGAAAAATTAGTTTCACTTTCTTCAAATTGGAAAGATGTATAAAATCTCAATTATGGTTTTGCAAGATAAGCAAGATTAAATCTATCCCAAAACTATAAATTTTGTACCATCCCACTATCAAATGACATTAACTTGGTCTTAGTTAATTGTAACTTCTGACCTATGAAGCTCGGACACAGACACCGGACACGGCACATCGACACGAGTAACAATTTGAAAAACTTCAGAGGTGCCGATGCTACATATACATAGCTTCTGAATGCCAAAAAAAAAATCATAATCAAGATGATGTTATAATCATTTGATATACCAAAATGATCTTCCCAGCAATCATTGTAGCACCAAAATTTCACTTTCATCTAATAAAAAACTATCATAAAATATTAGTCACAATCACAAAACCAAATACCCTAACGCACAGAACAATCTCAAAAGAAAAAGAAAAAAAGCTCAACCAGGCTTAAACATGAGGTACATGAAACCAAATCACATACAAAAACATTCAAATATCGTAATTATTCTACTACTACACCTTCAACAATTATCCAAAATCAAACAAACTACACATAATCCCTTCCGATTCCATATGAAGAACGATTACACAGGGCTGAGAAGCTGAGAAATCTGGGGTTTGGGATCAGTATTCATACCAACAATGATAATGAAAGGAATGAAACCGTAATGAGCGATAACCTTCGTCTTCTTCAATCCCCATGTTGTCCATTCCTTCGCGGAATCAAGCAGCGATCGATCTTCCGATCCTTTCGTTCCCTTTGAGCTTTTGCCTTTCGCCTTCAGAGAAACCCTCGACGCCATTTTCGTTTTCTCTTGATTGTGCGAAACTGGTTTTGATCGAAGTGGGTGGCGTAAACCCTAATATAGCGGCGACGTGGCCAAATTTGGTTCTGGACGATTTTAACCTTTCGCTTTTGTTTACTGCATACGACAGCTCATATTCTGTCGTTTCATCATAGCAATATTTTATGTAAAAATCTCCGTGAAAAAAAAAAGTTTGGATTTTTCTTAGATATAGATTTTTTTCTTTTGACTTCTCAAGAAATTCAATCATCTGGAAAAAAAAATTATATGATAAACATTTTTTTTCTAATTTATAATATAAGAAAAGTGAATCTATTTATTCTGACACTTTTGTTCTCTTATTCCAAAATCACCCCATGTGACTACTTCCATTGTTCTCCATTTCAGATTTTGGGATTCTCCTGCAATTTCTCCTAAATACTGTCACGATCAGATTTTCATTTGTAACCGTCTCCAAAAAAAAAAAACGAAAATCTTCACTATATCAAAACTCAACCCTTTGGTTTTTCAATAATGGTGTTTTCTCTTCCTGAAGATTTGTTGGCGTTGATTCTCATGGCGCCTTCGAAGCTCTTCGTCTTCGCTCTTTCCGTGGCCCTAATTTTCGTCATCGGGCGAGTGAAATGGCGTTGTTGCCCTAATCTTCGCTCTTTGAGTAATGGTGTTGTTGTCACCCAAATACTCTTTCCTCTCCGTTTCTGAAAATCGCAGGGAAAGTGGCGAGTGTTGCTGGGTGGACAACAACTCATTCCTCCAGCCGACAAAATTTGTTGGTGGCAAGTAGAAGAATAAGAAGGTAATCCTAATTTGTCATTAATTTTTTTATTATGAAATTTGGATGGAATTTGTTACCTTAAGTGGTTTTTTGAATGTGTTTTGAGTTTTAAGTTTTGCTGGATCGTAACATATTTCAGAGAGAACTCATAATTCATTACAAATTGGTGTTTTGAATTTACCGTCAAGACCTTTTGGATAGGTTCAATTTCCATTGCTGCAATATGTAATCTCTATGTGGACACATTCGAAGGAGAAGAAAACTTCACTCTGAACCTATCATGCCACCTGATGGCATTTTTTTCCAACTACCAAGGTTAGATTTTATACCAACATTGGGTATGCCTACTGCAATTTAATACATAAGTATTTTAGTTTATTGTTAATTTAATACATGTACCGTTGTGGTTAAAATCGCTTTCACTCAGACCGACCGCTCAAAAAACCATATGACTTTGTATTTTTTCATCATCTTCATTATTGTTAGGTGTTGTTATGCTTCTTATTGGCTTTGAAGACGAAATAGAGACGACGAGCGCATGGTGGCAGCAAGACCAGATGGTGGTTGACACGAGACAAAGAGTACAATGGTGACAGAAGGCGACGACAAGCAGTGGAATCATCATGAAGAAGCGGCGACCACAAGCATACTGCTTATTTGTTGATATCCAGTGCTACTCTTGATGCAGAGAAGTTCAGTGATTACTTTGATCTTGTCCAATATTCAAAATTTCTGGGAGATGTTATCTTGTTGAAATACATTTCACCAAAGCACCAAAACCCAACTACTTGGATGCTGCTATTGTCACGATATTTCAAATCCATGCTACTCAACCTCCAGGAGATATATTGGTATTCCTTACGAGTCAAGAAGAAATTGAAACGGTAGAAGAAATCCTGAAACATCGGATGAGAGGTTTTGGTACTAAAATAGCTGACTTAATTATATGCCCGATATATGCAAACTTGCCAACTGAACTACAAGCTAAAATATTTGAACCCACACCTGAAGGGGCTAGAAAGGTAGTCATTGCCACTAATATTGCAGAAACATCGTTAACAATTGATGGGATTAAGTATGTCATTGATCCAGGATTCTATAAGATGAAATGTTATAATCCAAGAACTGGAATGAAGTCTTTACTGGTAACTCCCATCTCAAAAGCTACAGCAAAGCAAAGAGTTGGTCGTTCTGGAAGGACAAGATTTGGTAAGTGCTTTTGATTGTATACTGCTTATAGTTTTCTAAATGATTTGGAAGATAACACTGCACCTGAAATACAACGAACTAACCTTGGAAATGTAATCTTATCTTTAAGTTGTCTTGGTATTGAGAATGAAAAGTTATTCTAGTTTGAATTTATGGATCCTCCACCAGTTGAGGCGGTAACAAAAGTTGTTCAACTTTTATATGCACAAAACACTTTAACTATTGGCGCAAATTAACCAAGGTAGGTAGACGGATGGCAGAGTTCCTGATTGATCCTATGTTGTCAAAAATGACAGTTGCTTCAGAAAAGTACAAATGTTCTCACAAAATTATCTCCATTGCTGCTATGCTTTCTGTTGGCAACTCAATATTTTACTGACCGAAGGATAAACAAGTACATGCAGACAATGCAAGAATTAATTTTCACACTGGAAATGTTGGTGACCACATTGCACTTCTAATGTCTGCAATTCATGGAGGGAGACCGGTTATTCAACACAATGGTGCTATGAACATTTTTTTAGTGTTGATTAAAAAAAGACATTTCCATCTTACTTTAAATCTATAATTTATATATTTATAAATATCTATATATTTTCATTATGCCACACAGTTAACGGTGGATGAAATAAATGTTGCCACAAATGCTATTGAAGGAGAATATTCCAGTATTGTTAATTCGAGGCCATAGCATATCAGAATATGGACAGACTGCTATTATTTTCAATGATTGTGATACATGATTTTGGTACAAAGTGTTGTTGACATAATGTAGAAAACTATTATTATTTGCTTTCGTGATTGACAACCTTGGATTCTTCATATTATTTGGGTTTAGAGGGTTTTGTTTTGTGTTTCTCATAATTTTTCTTTATTTTGTGATTATTTCTTGCATTACGATTTGAAGAAGCACCATGTAGCCTTATCTGATCGTGTGAAATTCACAACTGAGTCCATTTCTATTCAGCTTCTCGGTATGTTCTCACTATTTTCTGATTATAGATTCTGAATACTAAAACTCAATTCAGTTTTGTTGTTATCTGTTTATAGGTTCTGAATACGAACTAAAGAAGTATCTGGATGAATCTTCTTCCGAGTGAAAGCGACTTTACCATGGAATAATAGAATTTAAGAGTAATATCTGGGTTTTCTGCAGATGCGGACCCTTACGTGTAATTGAAAATGGGAACACGTCGATTGTCAATTTTGAATCGACTCTGCTCAATGACGAAACTGATATGGGTGATGCGGTGACAACAACAGCTTGGACAGATGGCGAAACTGAGGCATTGGCCATCCAACCAGACAAAGCATTATCATTAGTAGTTGTTGCGACAGGTGGAAAGGGCTAAAGAAAGAAATGAAAACAAAATATTCATTAATCAGCATGAGATCTTAAATATATAAGTGTAAGGAACCAATTATTGAAATGTATGGTAACATACACCATGAGCTCCCACTCCAAGGGAAGTATCAACAGCAGGCCTTGCAATAGCAGAAACTGGAAGATTGACATGTGTTGGTGCAAGAGGACCATTGGAAGGTGAACATGAGTGATAGATAAATAAAGTTTTATATATGGCTTTGGCCTTGGGTTTTTGCAAAGCTGGTGCTGCCAGTTCAAACTAAATTAACAAAAGGCGGATAGTCAAATGCCATATTTACGTAAGGAGTTAAAATATCATGCAAAAGTCAAAGAGATATGGTAAAACTTGTCATACAGGTTAGTTGTTCTATTTCTGCTATGATAGAAGCTTTGTGCACTTCAATCTCAGTTCTTCGCGAATCATCGCAATCACATGTATGTTACTGATTCTTTCTTCTCTTTCGTTTTCCTTTTGTTTGATTTGGATAAATCTGATTGCATATCATAATCTGTCTCGATTTAATCCATATCATGTCGCATTTCTCTTCCATGGGGAGCTTAAATTGGTGAGAGTTACTTTTATTTTCAACTGATTGAATTGAATAATGTTGATGTAGGGTTTTTTCTTTTAATTTGCATTTTTTCAATACTGAACATGTTTTTGTTAACAATGGTTATTACCTTGACACATCCATACTCTCTCCAAATGAGAAAAATAAAACAAAATTCATAATGAGCAACTATATTGTTCTGATTCATATGTGATGATTTATATTAGATCTTAATCTCTTTTGCAGTTACTCCATAGTATCTCATCTTAATTTGTATTTATGGTATTGGAAATGGTTTGCCAATAGGAGCTATAGTTAAAACTCCATAAATAACAAGCGTGATGGCCCAAAAGATTCAATTTAACACTTTTGGTGGGTACCCTGTATGTTCTGTCGGGGGTCTTGCAGTGCACAAGGTTCTGGATAACGAGAAGCGGCAGGCTCATTGTGTTGATTTTGGTTCTCACTTGCTTGAGCATTTGAGAACACTTCAGCAACTCTGATTTTTAAAGTCAGTACAACAAAAATCGATTTCATGACTAAGTATGTTGTTACTCGGTGGTACAAAGCTCCTGAGCTACTTCTTAATTATTCATAATATACAACAGCCATTGATATATGGTCAATTTCAGCTAACTATATGGTGTAATTGTTTGTTTGAATGGTTTGTCATTGCAGGTTGTGTGGAACAATAGAAAGTGGTTGATGCAGTTGCGGTTTGATGATGGGGATTGACAAAGAGTGGGTTCTCAAAGGAAGAACTAGAATCAAGGTATAAATATCTAATATATTTATTCCTATCCATGATTCCTTATCATACTTGACCTCACTTTCCATATGCTTAAGGAGTCAGTGGAATCTATCTTTTGCTTTTAGGTATATGTTGCTTGGTTTATCTATTTGTTGATTATTATGTTATATTTGAACATTTTTATGTACTTTGTAGATACAGACAATAATTGGAAGAAAAAATTGCACGGTCCTTAAGTATTACTGTAATATGAGTACACAACAATTTCTGGAGAAATCTGTTACAATGGTCACAAGTTAGATGAATTTGTTCCTCAAAAAACATCAGCTTACATAAGCCAGTATGACCTACACATTCCTAATATGACAGTGAGGGAAACAAATGACTTCTTGGCACGTTGTCAGGGGGTTGGAAGGTTAGCTTTCTTGCTTATTCAATCCTAGATTATCCATATAATTTGTAACTAATACAATACCAGTATGCATTCATATATATCCTTTGAATTACAGATATAATGACTGAAATCCCTAGGAAAGAAAAAGAACAAGGAATCTTTCCTGACCTGGATATTGATAGTTATATGAAGTTAATTGTAGTATGCACAATTTATATGTCATAGTTAGAAAGAAAAAAGTTGACAAAGAAAGTAACACATACTTTTGCAGACTATTTCTGTTGAAGGACAAAGCAAAAATCTTCAAACGAAATTTGTTGTAAAGGTACATCTTCTTAAATCGGGGTTGAGTTAGAACACAAAGTTACTGAATCGCTCGCTTTAGATATTTTCTATTCTTTTTAACATATGGATTCAAACATTTCATATTGTAGATACTTGGATTGGATATTTGTGCTAACTGTAACGCCCGTAATTTAATTAATTATTTATTTATATTAATTAAATTATTTTGGATTATTTGGGAGGTTGCGAGATATTAAGAATTATTGGTATAAGTTTTTATATTATTATTAATTAATTAATTAGTTGAATAATAATTATTATAATATTGAAAGTAATGGAAGCTATAATGTTGGACTTATACTATTGGTTATAAGTAGTAAAGTGGGGGTGTAGGTTAGGCCCAAGGGGATTGTTATATAAGGAGAAGCTAATACAAGGATTTGTTTTAGTTGGAGAATAAGGATTTTTGTGTGCTGACCGGTAGAGCTGTGCGGACGAGGAGCAAGCTGCCCAGTGTCGAACAGAGCGAATCAAGGATTACGGCCGAAGCTTTGATTGAGCGACCTTCAATCCAGGTAAGGGTGTGGTTCTGAACTTATAATGGGATTTATGATGTTTGTTATGGAGGATTGGTCGTAATTGTGATTGTTGTCGTGATGTTACTGAACCTGTTAAGGAAGATGCGCGTTCCGTTATGTTGTGAGTGTTTTATGTTGTGTGCATGACTGCCCGATAGATTAGACGAGTAGGTTAGTGTAGATTGTTGCTTGTTGTTGTGGTCGTTAAGTTGTTATGGTCGGTATGATGGTATGGTCGTTATGATGTTGTAGTGGTTCGAGCAGTTAGTAGGAAGTTAGGAATTATTATTGTAGTCAGTCTTGTATAATGAACGAATTTATCAATAGGAATATAGTTGCCCGTTACTGTGTTAATCCGAGTGGTTGGCTGGAAGTTATGAATTATAGTGGTGTGGTTGTTAAGACGTTACATCGTGACTATGTTGTTGGCCAAATTAGTGGTTGGGGAGGATACTAAAGTAGTAGGTATCGAGCGACGCTTTAGACTACAGGGCGTGTCGGGGAATGATGCGTTGGATTTTTCTAGCAGAATTAGGTTGTAGAACATGTCGAGGAGCATATGTTGGTCGCTGCCCTATTTTCCCATGTGCATGTCGAGGAGTATGATTTAGTTGTTATGTTGTCCTAGTTGTTATACATGTCGAGGGGCACGTAGTTCCCTATCCCTTTTGCCCGTACATGTTGTGTTTTAGTCGTTACTAGTGCGGTGTGAAATTATTATTAAGTTGTTGTTTGATTATGTTAATGATTTAATTGTTGATTGACGTGATAGGTTTATGGCCAATGTTGATTTATGTTGAGTTGTTGTGATGTGGTGATGTTGTGAATTCTTATTGATAACATGAAGTTGCAGGGAATTTACATGATGATGAATTACCTCTATTTACTGGTAATAATGGTGATGTAGGCTTATGCCTTACGATGGGTGATGATTGTTGTGAGTATGTGATAGTGCATTCATTGAGTCACATACATTTGCATACTCTGTGATTGCATGGATTGACAAACTACAAAGAAGGCTTATGCCTTGTTGATGCCTCTGTTAATCGGCAATTATTAAGATGGGAGTTCTGCTCCGTTTTTAAGATGGGATTTCTGCTCCAATGGTACCACGTGCATTCGCATAATATTGAGTCGCGTTCCAAGTAGTATGATTGAGTTGTTGTGTTGATGAATTAATTGTTGTATTTTGTTGTGATTGTTGTTGTTTATAAGTTATGAAGTGGTGATTTTTGCATGAACTGATTCTAATATAATATTTATCATACGTTCTATTATAGTGTTAGATATCTCACCCATTCTGTTTGAATGTTATCCTTATGTTGGTAACGTGCAGGTAATCTAGAGTGAAGGCGGTTGACCTTCAGCAGTTTGAGTCGGTGTCATTGCTCTGATACGTAACACCCGGGGGGATGAACGCTTGTTGTTTTATTGTTGTTATTAATTCAACTGAT